GGGGGGTGGGGGGGGATGCAATGAAGACAAGATGATGAAAGTAAAAATAATTAACTAAGATATTTTTGTTCTTTGTTGCTTGATTTAACCAAGTTTATTGAAGAATATATGTGAAGTGTGAAGATACTTTCAAATCCACGAGAGGTGCAATTTTTAAACTATAGTATCATTTACAAGTAGTTCATGTATGAAAAGAACGAGGAAAATCATATTTGTCTCAACTATAACGAACTTTACATAATAGATCGATACTGATGCCAAAATTAGCAATAAGCATTGGGGCTTTAGTTAATTAAGAGAACCAAGCATAGATGTTCTTGAGTTAAAACTAAATCAATAATAGTACTGTAATATGCAGCTTATAATTATCAAATTCAAAAAATAAAAACAAATAAACAAAAGAATAGGAAAATAAGATGCAACATGAAGGATAAGTGGTGCTAGCAACCGGTACTATAAAAAATTAATTAACATAAAGGAAATGTGTTCTTACATGGGCAGTGAACCATTTTGACTAGGAATATAGCTAGCACCTAGCTGTTGGTAATAGTGTAGAACTGACCAAATTTACTTCTTCATACACATTAAAAATATCTGTTGGTCCTCTGATTTCTTCACGCTATATGTATTTCTAGGCCAGTCCTACAACGTTCAAATCATTTGTAAGAGGAAAGGTCACTGAAGGCAGTTTTGAGAATGAAGAGACTATGAGCTGCAGTCAACTTTTTTTGTCCTCAATAAATATAGAGTTTAAAATGACTTTTCATATGACTTATCATCAATAATCACAATAAATAAATAATGTAGTTAATATATCATTCAAGATTGCAAGAATCAATGTCCCCACGTAATTAAAAAAAAATGTCCATTGCATTTTCATATTCTCATACATTATATGTTGAAAAGATGTCCAGTAGCTTAATAAATTTATTTAAATCTACATTTACATTTTTGTACAAAAAGTGGTGTAGAAATATTAGTGTTTGTTTGAAGGGCAAAATTGTTATTCAACTTTACATGGCCATTTTAATCTTTTAACTTTGACTTAGAGTCTTCACACTTATAATATAGTATGATATGATAGAGAATACCGTTACCTAATGTGAAGCAAAGAGTGGTATATTGTTTACCAGTTGTGTAAAATTAGTAATATGGTAATATAGCTTTTGAAGAAAGTTAATTAACAGAAACAGAAATATTCAAACGAGATTGATAACACATTGGAGTACAAACAGGCAGTTTAATTAGCCTATTCATCAGACCAAGTTATATCCAACTCCCCCCATTCGTTCATGGGCACATGTAAAGCTCTCCAAACTGCTTGTGAAGCTATAACAAGGTTATTAGGACAAGGTGGTTGATAATCATGTTTCTCATCACAACCCATAGTTGAGTCACACTCATCCACAACCATGGCTTTTACACTTATTCCATTATTAGCATTTATTGTAATGTTACTAAGGCACCTTCCTCCTCCATTGTACCAACCAGTGGAAAGAGCTACAACATGTGTATGATCAGAATGATACTTGTTATCACATTTTGATGGTCCATATCCATCTCCACCCTTTTCGAAACTATTCAATGTGAGAACTGCTTTGGTACTCTTCTTAGAAACTGGGGGTGAACATTTGTAAGTAGTGTACACTTTGCCTTTGATGCAACATATGTCATCATCTTCAATGTCACAGTGTCCCGTCGGCGGCTTTTTCGCCTTTATCTTGCCGCTAGGATTGCAGGTTGGCAATCTTGCATCTGAGGAACTAGCTAGAACGAGTAACACAATAAGAGATGTAATACCTAATCTAAAGATCTTCATGATCTCTCTCTCTATTCTTAATTATAAAATCTTTGGTTTCTGAATAATGGAGAGCTAGCTGGTTTGTCTATATAATTAATGTTTGGTCACATAAAACTCCAAGGTTGTGTTCAAATTCCAATATCCTCTAAGTTTTTCGTATGTTAAAAAAATTAAATGGCCCGTCTAGATTGTATCTTCTCTTGAGCTTCCGTACACAGATTCCTATAGGCATGTATTTTCTCATGACAAAAAGACAACATAATTTGATTCGAAAACAAATTAGGAACCAAAAATGGTCTCCATCAGCTTAACGAAGATGTCACGGCATTTAGCGACTGTTGTCTTCTGCTGTCCGCCATAGGACTTTTACATTGAACGCCTACTCTATCACAATGCTCTCTTGAAACAACATTATTTCTAAAACTTGGAATCTCAATCCTAGGTCCTTTCATTTGGTTATATTTTACAGTTCCTAGACGTGTGTAATATAAAGGGGAAAAGGAGAAAGGGAGAGAATAGAGTGATAAAGGACAGTCGCCACCAATAATATTGTTGTAGGTTGCCGTCCCTAAGTAGCGACCTGCATAAGATCTATTTTGTAGCGTATTTATTTACTTTTTATGACAAGCTTAGTGCTAAAAACTAATAATAACAATGCGACGGGGAGGATGCACATTTCCACGCCTTGCAGAAATTTTTTACAAAAATTATATGTAAAATAAAAAAAAAATGTCTCCATTAGCCAATGTATTTACTGTGATAAAATGAATACTTTACAGAATAATGTACTTGGCTTCAACAACTCTATTTGGATCAAAAGATATTACAACCTTTTTGAACAAATCAATTAAAGAAAATGAAGGGGTAAATCTTAGTCATTCATAATGAATTCCAGATCAATGAACTAGAGGAAGAATTGCATACAAAGAGAAGTGAAGATAAACGATCTCATTGAAACTTGTTAATATTGTCCTCATTAACCAATTGAATAGAACTTATTACATATTACAACGATCGCTCAGGATCACTTCACTCATCTCTCTGTTTTTCGAAGCTCCCGAGAGGAGATAGATGGAGAATAGGAGAGATATTTTTCTGGAAGAACCCCCCCCCCCCCCTGTGAGAGGTTTTTACCCTCCTATATATACAGCCCTGGACCTCCGGCTATGTGGTCTATCCGACGCTTCTTCTATGCCTCACACTCCTCGGTTACTTGCTGGAGGTCGTCCTTTACTGCTTCGACGAAAGTCGTGAGAGCAGGATATGGAACACCTCATGTTGATCCTTATTGCCTCGCCGTCTGTGAGCGGGCGTTAGTCGGTCTGACCGTTGTGGTCAGATTTTGACCAATACAGTTAGTCCCTCCGTCTGTCGGGGTCGTCCCCTGTCGGGATCGGCAGACGGATTATGACCGCTGTCAACCCGAGAGAAATATGACTAATCACTCCTTGGTTGTACTACGTGGATTCGGAAAGGATGACGACACCCTTTTGGTATTCCAGGACTGTTGCGACCGTTTCGGAACCGAAACGTCGTTTGTTCTGAAACATCGTTTCATGGTTGCAGCCATTATGACACACGTTCTTAGAGAGTTGAAATGTTTCGTGTGCCACCAGGTTTGATAAGCGACTCTTGGGTTTCGCGCTGGGGAGGTTTATGTTTCTTATAAATAGAAAGAACACATCATTCGATTGACACATTCCCTTGCCTTTTGCCTGAAAGAATTCTTGCGAGTATACTTTCTTCCTGATAACTTCAAACTTTTATTTGCTTCCTGTGAGCCGAAAAACTCTCATCCTTTCCTTTCATCGCTTTTTTTTGTTGCTAAGTTGACACAATGGCCGGTAATTCTTCTCGCGCTGACCTTCCAGCCCCGATTCCGGCACTGGCAAACGATACTCCGGCCACCGGAGGGGCAGAAACGGTGGAGGATGAGGAGGTTCCGTCAGTGGCCGAGATCTTGCCCCGCCCCGGAAGAGTATGGGCTAATTTTAGCGGTCGCGTCGGGGAGGAGCCGGAACCTGTCCCCTCAGTAATGAAGGAGGAGGATATTGCTGATTTGAAAGTCCAGTGGGGAATTCCCGGCTATATCGATATGTGGCCGGCTGTGGGAGACGACATCGTCCATTTCGACCGCCCCGAGTACTACGTGTTCTACGCGTACCCCTTCCTTATTGGGTACACTCTTCCTCTCCCACTCTTGGTGGTGGACTTCTGTCGCTTTTATGAGGTATGTCCTGCCCAACTCTCGCCGTACCTGTATAAACTGTTTCTGATGTTGCTCAAGTTCGTGGAGCTCGCCGGCCGTGAGGTCACTTTGGGGCATATGCTCAACATCTTCGCCCCTCAGCATATTCGTGGTACGATGGTCCACATGCGCCTTCGGGGGTCAAAGAGCCTGGTGGTGAAAATGGACGACAGGGCTAACCGTCATTTTTATGAGAATTACTTCTACGTGCGGACCGAGCATCTCTTGGCGGATCCAACGGGGTTCCCTGAGAAATGGAACTTTGCGCGTAAGTTTGTATGTTGTTTTATTTTAGTCGATGGGATGCACGACCATTTCTTATCGTGATACTAAATCTTTGCCACTTTTTGCAGCCGCGAGATTGCCTCCTCCACCCGTTGACAGTATTCGTGAGTGGGTGGGCGCTATTCTCCCTCATACGGCGGGGATCCGCACATGGGCGGCCTTCTATGACAAGTATGGGCGCAAGCCTCTTTCTGGTGAGATGTCGTATCCATTTGTCATTTTTTTTCTTCCCTTCTTTGTATTTAATTTCTCACGTGCTGCTCGTCGATGTTAGGGAGGGTACGGAGGGCGAGGGCTCCTCCGTTAGCTTTCCGGCAACCAGCCTAAACTACTCGCCCTATCGCAGTACCCACTGCTCGTCCTTCGTCGAGGGCCGCTTCAGTTGAATCTGCGGCAGCAGTTGCTCCTGCTGAGACCGCTTCTCCGGCTGAAGTTCCGACTCGTGTTGCTCGCCCGACGGGTGAATCTCCGCCTACTGAGGATGAAGGGGGTCCTTTCAAAAAGCGGCGAGTGGGGTTCGAGACAGCACCCCCAACTATGATTCATCAGGACGACTCTCCTTCAACGGGATCTGGAGTGGGGGTTGATACGGTTCCCCCTGTAGGGACGGAGCCGGCCGTTGCATCTGCTCAACCAGAGACTCCGGCTATTGTTGGTGATCAGCGTCCTGCCGCGACGGAAGGTCAGGTTACTGGGGCCGCCGTTGTGGTTTCGGACGTACCCTCATCCTCTGCGCGTGGTCGTACTTCCTCTTCAGCTGCTGACAGAGGAAAGGGAGTCGTGGTCGACGACTATTAATCCGAGTCGCACCTCGACCCTGATGATGTTAGGATGTTTGAGGAGGGCATTACCCATTCGGTGGTTCAAGCGGGAGGTCCGACCCGCTTTCTTGAGATTCCTTCGGATGTCAACCTTTTGGGGTATATGGAGGATTTGGTGCTGCAGTTCGATATTTTGTGCTCCGAGGCCGAGACTATGGCCCTTCGGAACGTTCCTGATACAGGTTTGATGGACGAGGTGGCCGCTATGGGCTTAAGAGTAAGTTACATTATCCCTGTTGTTTTTCTTTCATTTTTCTTGATGACGGGGGGCTAACCCATATTCTCATTTTTCAGACGTATATGCTGGAGGTGGAGAGTATTCGCAGGGCCAACATTCGGGCCAAAATCTTCTTGAAGATGCTGGAGAAATATCGGCGCTATCGCGACAGGTGTCGTGAGATGCATGAGCGGCTGAAGGCTAACCCTTGTGACCGGACTCTTGGCGAGGAGTTAGAGAAGAGGGACCAGGAACTGTTGCAGGCTATTCATAGCAAGAGTGCGCTTGAGGAGCAACTCCATGCGAAGGATGAAGAGCTCGAGCTGGGCAAAGGAGTTGTTGCGGAGTGTGAATATCTCCAGGAGAAGCTGAGGTCGATGCAGTCTGAGATGGATCAGAACCTCCTCAGGGTCGAAGCAATGAGTGCAGAGTGGGTGGTAAAATTGGCCGAGATGGAGAGAAAGGTAGCCGGGTTGGAATTCATGGAGAATGCCTGGTCCTCAGCTTCGGCGAGGGCGGCGGCTTTAGAGGATACCATCCGCGTCCTCCAATCTGAGCAGGAATCGGAAAGGGCGACGACCACGCTAAGGGAGGAGAGGCTTGAAGAGCGCATTAGTGAGATCGACCGGGAGGTCTCGATCTTGGGGGATCGGGTCGATGCTCTGGAATCTGAAAGGGAGCAATTGCTGGCTCAACTTGAATCTTCCTTTGCCGCCGTTCCTCGTCAGTTTCATGAACTTTAGGTCCATGCTGAAGCGCACCGGGACATATATAGGAATCTGTGGGAGGCGGGCAAGGTGACCGAGGCCGAATATGAAGAAGCGCGGGTGAAAGCGCGAGAATCTCACGTCAATTGCGGGTATGACTCGGCGACGCCAGAGGCTGACTAGGGCGCGGGCGCCGAAGGTGAATTCCCCGGAGGTGATGGTGGAGAGGGTGCTGATGATGATGCCGAATAGAGGGGTAGTGATTTTGATTTGTTTTTTGCTTGTTGTTTTCTTCCTTCATTTTTTTTGTTGTCGGTGTTATTTCCTTCTTCTTTTCCCTTGTCGTTGTTTTTTTTTATTGTTGACTTGGGCCTCATGTAACCCGCGACCATTTGCGCAATTACTTTGTATAAAGAAGAGCTTTTCGCTGTTATTTGTCTTGTACTTTTACCTTTGTTTTTGTTTTCCGTGATTACGCGCGAGATAGATTTCCGCACGGCGAGTCCCAATCTTTTGTACCTTCTAATGGCCCTTGGCCTCAGAATTATTTCGAATTCTCTTTGGCGATGGCTTAGGGTCTTGAAGGGTATTACTTCAACCTATTGACGTGTCGAACCGTCGCCATTCGTTAGATCGAGGTCGAACTCCTCTCTTTTGGCGAAGGCCCTTGGCCTTAAAGGGTGTTATTTAGACTTATCGAAATGTTAGCCCGTCGTCGTTCGATCGAGGTCGAACTCTTCTCTTTTGGCGAAGGCCCTTGGCCTTAAAGGGTGTTATTTCGACTTATCGAAATGTTAACCCGTCGTTGTTCGATCGAACTCTTCTTTTTGGCGAAGGCCCTTGGCTTTAAAGGGTGTTATTTCCACTTATCAAAATGTTAACCCGTCGTCGTTCGATCAAGGTTGAACTCTTCTCTTTTGGCGAAGGCCCTTGGACTTAAAGGGTGTTATTTCGGCTTATCGAAATGTTAACCCGTCGTTGTTCGATCGAGGTCGAACTCTTCTCTTTTGGCGAAGGCCCTTGGCCTTAAAGGGTGTTATTTCGACTTATCGAAATGTTAGCCCGGCGTCGTCCGTTCGAGGTCGAACTCTACTTTTTGGTGAAGGCCCTTGGCCTTAAAGGGTGTTATTTCGACTTATCAAAATGTTAACCGTCATCGTTCGATCGAGGTCGAACTCTTCTCTTTTGGCAAAGGCCCTTGGCCTTAAGGGGTGTTATTTCGACTTATCGAAATGTTAACCCATCGTCGTCTGTTCGAGGTCGAACTCTTCTTTTTGGCGAAGGGCCTTGGCCTTAAAGGGTGTTATTTCGACTTATCAAAATGTTAACCGTCATCGTTCGATCGAGGTCGAACTCTTCTTTTTGGCGAAGGCCCTTGGCCTTAAAGGGTGTTATTTCTACTTATCGAAATGTTAGACCGTCGTCGTTCGATCGAGGTCGAACTCTTCTCTTTTGGCGAAGGCCCTTGGCTTTAAAGGGTATTATTTCGACTTATCGAAATGTTAACCTGTCGTCAGTTTCGGAGAATCGGGCGTCTTTTGGGAGAGTTCCAGTCAGCTAGATATTTTTCGCATCGGAGTGCGTAATACTGGAGGGTATGAAACGTCACCGTTTCACTTATGTTTGTTCGGCATGTTCATACGAGTTTCCTTATTTGACTCCTGCCTTTCGGTCCGGAGATATAATCGGCGGGTGATATTCCAATTGCCGCGTGGTAGTTTTTCATTCCTCGATGGAGGTGTTTCTTTGCTCACTCGATTGCGCGGTGTTTGTGTTCCTACTTGAGCAGAGAGCAGAAAGCAAGTTAGAACGATACTATTCTTAGCCCCATCCAATGAATCGGTGAATCAGAGTAGGTTGATAACATAGCTCGTTTTTCTTGGCCTTTCGATGAGTGATGGAGCCGTTCCGATATTCGATATTCAGCTTTCTTTTCCTTTCTAGGCTGCATCTTTATTACGCTTGGATAGGGCCTCGCCTTGGCGATCTTCTCGGGGGATAATCGTGTTCCTTGCCTTTGATCTGGAAGAGACTAGGACATTTCACTAAGAAATCCCCACAGACGGCGCCAAATTGTTTGGATCAAAAGATATTACAACCTTTTTGAACAAATCAATCAAAGAAAATGAAGGGGTAAATCTTAGTCATTCATAATGAATTCCAGATCAATGAACTAGAGGAAGAATTGCATACAAAGAGAAGTGAAGATAAACGATCTCATTGAAACTTCTTAATATTGTCCTCATTAATCAATGGAATATAACTTATTACATATTACATCGATCGCTCAGGATCACTTCACTCATCTCTCTGTTTTTCGAAGCTCCCGAGAGGAGATAGATGGAGAATAGGAGAGATATTTTTCTGGAAGAAGCCCCTCCCTTGTGAGAGGTTTTTACCCTCCTATATATACAGCCCTGGACCTCCGGCTATGTGGTCTATCCAACGCTTCTTCTATGCCTCACACTCCTCGGTTTCTTGCTGGAGGTCGTCCTTTACTGCTTCGACGAAAGTCGTGAGGGCAGGATATGGAACACCTCATGTTGATCCTTATTGCCTCGCCGTCTGTGAGCGGGGCGTTAGTCGATCTCACCGTTGTGGTCAGATTTTGACCAATACAAACTCACTTTTAACATTTCTTATTGCTAGAGAACTATAGGAAATCAGGTTTTCGGTGACTACTTACTGTGGCAACTACTTTAGTCGCCACCAATAGTAGTGCTATAGGTCGACCTACCCAAAATCTCTTTTGTCGGGCAGTTTTCACCTTTTGGGGCGAGTTTAATCGCCACAAAAACTCATTAAAGCCGTGACAATTTTTGCAATACTAGCGGAACTGCGGAAGGATCAAAGGGATAACCAGCAGGAAACTGCAAAACTGGCTACCAATCACTTTGTTTCTGCAAAGACAATGGCTGTTCTAACTATCAACAGTCTCCAAAAAGGTGGTGGGAAGTCGTCCAAGTGTGACAACAAGTACCATTCGGATAACACACCGGTGGTTGCACTCTCAACGGGTTGGTTCAATGGCGAAAAGAGGTGTATGAAGAACATTACGATTTATGGGAACGGAAGGGAAGCGGATGCTATGGTTGTTGACGACTGTGATTCCACAATGGGATGTGACAACCACCATGATTGTGATAACAACATTGTTGACGCGTCCAAAGCTGTTTGGAAGGCTCTGATAGTGCCTAAGAAGCAATGGGGCCAACTTGATGTTTTCTGGTCTGATGCTACTGCTTGAATTTAGTTTAGTGTTTTTTTCCAGATTAATGATCAACATCCAAATGTGAATAAAGCCTATAACAAGAGAACTAAGCAAGAAAATAAAGGGCTAGCTGCTGAGTTAGCTGTTTTTTATTCACAATCAGAAGTATTGTACGCAGCCTTACCCTGTGGAAACATCCTCTTGCAGAAATGCAGGGTAAGGCCACGTATAATAGACCCTTGTGGTCCGACCTTTCCCGAATCCCGCACATACCGGAAGCTTAGTGCACCGGGCTGCCTTTTAATCAGAAGTAATAAAGAACTATGTACTTTCATATCGAACATTGGTTTATCAGCTCAACCATCTTAAGCAAATCCTGTTTTGGGACTTAATTCAGATAAACCCTTGGAGAGTTCTGGAAAAGCAAAGGAATTTACGATAACAAAGAGGGAAAACAGGTAAAAATTTCAAATAAACATTGATGACATTCTTAATCAAATGGTCACAAGATCATACTAGTAGCCTAGCTACTAAAAAGACAAAATTGAACACCATATATAGTAAAAGAAATAACAAAGAACACATTCCTCAAAATCCAATAAACGAAGGGCCTGTATACAAATTGCCAATGAATATAGGCCAAATATATTTAGGTAAGAGATATTAATTTCAACGAGCTCTCCCAATGAAGGTATCCAAGCTCATCTCACTTGCATCAGTAGCCTGCAACTCAACCTGGACACCATCTAATTCTCTCCTGAATCTGTCTTTGGAGCTTGCATACAACATCTTACTTCTTACTCTTGCTGTTTCTGGTGCCCTGGATGTAAAACGTTATACATGATTAATTAGCGCCACACAAAATTAATGTTGAATTCTATGCATTGACAGTATAAAAAATGTTTACAGAATTAGGTCACTTGCTTCAGCTTACCGAGGACATGACCCTAGATAGGGATGTGGAGGTCGAGAATTAGGGCCGAAGGTTGATATGTATCGATGGTGTCTCCTAGTATTACCAGTAGTATTAGTAATATTCTTATTACCTATTCCTAGACTTTTTATTATATGTTGTGTCTTTCTTACCGATAGTATTAGTAATCAGTGGTGGAGCCAGAATTTTCGTTAAGGGGTGCCAAAATATATAAAGGTAAACATACCAGGAAATTAAGGGGAGTCAATATATATATATATATATATATATACATATAATTTATTTTTGTACCTACCTACACAGTGTATTTTTCCCGCAAAGGGGTGTCATTTGACACCCCTTCCTATAAGGTGGCTCCGCCACTGTTAGTAATATTCTTGTATTTCTTATCTCTAGATATTTGTTAGTATACGTGAGTCTTTGTTTTTCTTTTATTTTCTTGTTATTGTTATGGTTGCTTCCTTGTCACTGTTCCTTGAGCCAAAAGTCTATCGGAAACAGCCTCTCTACCTTCTCAAGGTAGAGGTAAGGTCTGCATACACACTGCCCTCTCCAGACCCCACTTGTGAGATTATACTGGGCTTGTTGTTGTTAGGTCACTTGTAAGGTAATTACACTAAAAATTCTAAGACAAACATTAATTGATAACCTAAAGTAAAAATGGTAACTAATCTACTATCACAAGTTAAACTGCATTGATATTGTAAAAAATCTTTACGCTGTTAGTATAAAGATAAATAATCAGAGTAACAAGGACATATATGTGGATAATGATGAAATAATTAGCAATTGAAAAATTAAATGAAAGGATAAGATTGTTACCAAGCAACAAAGAAGATCTTGCTTTTCTGGACATTCTCGTTTGTGGTAAAGTCATAATCAAAAACTGCATAGCGACACTCATTGGGAGGTAAATTGTTGGCAAAATCTTCATGAGTCTCATCATTTCTCCCAACTTTCTCAACCACAACTTGATGCCCTGAATCATCAATCTTGAACACTATATATCTGTGGTCTCTTTTCGCTTTCAGCTCCAAAAATTTCAGCTTGCATTCATCACTCACTGCTATCCCTGACGCCGAATTCGCCTACGCAAAATGGCACCAAAAGAAGAAAGAAAAAAAAAAATAGTACAGTTCATATACATGCATGAACATAAATTAAAGAAACAATTGGTACGTTAATAAGTTCATCTTTTCTGAGAGATTATAGAATGGGAATCGAAACTTCAACTTAGAAAGGGTATAATTGCTTTTAAATTACCCTCTTAAGCATTTAAGATTTTGCATTATTTCTATTGAAAAACTTTGGTTGCTTTTTCTATGTAATTACGTCTAGTGCATAAATCATGAAAGGCATATCATATTCAAGTGATGGGGTCTGGGAAGGTAACGTGTACGCAGACCTTACGCCTACCTCGTGGAGGTAGAGAGACTGATTCCGAAGACCCTCAACTCAAGGAATATATACATGACAAAATACAACATTCGAAATTTGGAGCAAACCAAAAGCAGATGATTTGGCCATGTTAAATCGGAAATGAGAATACAGTATCATTTCTTGTTATAAATATATGTATCACATAAATCTATACAGTGAAAGAACTGCGTACAACATACCATTTGGGTAAGTGGCGAGCGATGAAACTTCTAAACCAATAGAAATGAAGCAAACTGATCTGCAAATGAAAGAAAAGGAAACAGGGCGTGAAAGGGAGAGAGAAAGAGAAAGATGCTTGATTTTGGAAAGGGGCATTGAAGTTGGAAAGTGCCTAAGAAATGTTCAAAGGACTGAGAGCTTTTTCAGGTTGCACAAAACAAGTTTGTTAGTTTTGCTAACTGCTATTCTTCCTCTTCGTTAATTCTCCTATGATTCTGCGTCCTACATTAATTATTACTCCCTCCGGTCCACAATAACTGACCAATTTGCTTTGGACATACCCATTAAGAAAATACTAAATTCTAGACGAAAACAATTAGTATGACCAAACTACCCTTCATTAAATGTTGCACCATAGTTATAGTAGTATTTACTTCTCTTCTCAAATTTGAGGAGTAAATGACTTTTAGGGATACGTACATAAGGGTAATTGTGGAAAAATAAATTGAATTTTTTCTTGATTATATAAATGGACACTTATTTTGGACCAAAATAAAAAAGCAAATTGGTCACTTATTGTGGACCGGAGGATGTAGTAGTAATTAGTTTCCCATCTAACAACATAAAATTTATTTCTCATCAAATTAATTTAAGTGAGAAAATTTAAGTGGTTTGGATCGGTTTTCTCTAAAAGAAAAAATCAAACCAAATAAGTAGGTTCTTCAAATATTGGAACCAAACCAAACCAATTAAGTCGGTTCTTTATCAATTCGATTTTTGTCGGTTTTTCGGTTTTTTCAGTTATTTATCGATTTTTTTCTTAAATATGAGACATACATTACCAAACACATATTTCAGTAGCTGTATTTTCAAAGTAACACTATCAAACCAATTGCTCTTTGAGAAATCTATCATTTACCAAGATATATTGATGATAATTGAAGCAAATAATGATGAATAATTTAAGTACTCAATTAAAAATCGATTATTTTTAATATGAAATAAATTCTTGTGCTTAGCAAAAGAAAACTATCAATCAAACTACTAGAATGTAAAGGCAAAGAATTATATTATTATAATAGTAAAAAACTAGACTAAAAATACAAACTACTAATATGTACCATAAAATATTAGAAACTTTATATATATATATATATATATATATATATATATATATATATATATATATATAGGTGTAATAATAAATTTAAATAGCTACTTCTATAGTCGGTTTGGTTCGGTTATTTTTTAATTAAAATCAAAACAAAACCAAATTTGATCGGTTTTTAAAACTCAAAACCAAAATCAAACTAAACCTAAAAAGTATCGGTTTTTTCGATCGATTTAGTTCGATTTTCGATTTGGTTCGACTTTTTGGATTTTTATGAATACCCCTAGTTACCCATCAACAGGGATAGGATAGAAAGCTTATTGAAAAACTGAGGCAATCACGCTTCGCTCTAGCAAGTGGTGAGCATTTCACATAATTACTTGAGGCCATCTCCAAACCCTGTCTCTATTTTCTCCTCCAAAATGGAGTAAAGTTACTCCAACCATTACTCTATTTTTTACTCCAAAAAAGAATATTCTATTTTATATTCTTCTCTCTCTTCAATATTATATTATTATTTTTACTTAAATTTTATTTTTTATTTCTATTAAAGAAAATCTANNNNGAGAATTGAACAAGAGAACCAAATCACCCACTTTGAACTCCTTGCTACGAGCATACTTGTCATGAAGGTACTTCATCTTGTCCTTGTACAAGGACGAACTGGAGTAGGCATGGAATCGGAATTCATCAAGTTCATTAAGCTGCTCCACATGAAGATTTGCTGCCACATCCCATTCAAGATTCAGTTTCCTCAAAGCCCATATGGCTTTGTGCTCTAACTCAACCGGAAGATGGCAAGCTTTCCCAAACACCAACCGGTACGGAGACATACCAATCGGAGTCTTGTAAGCAGTCCTATAAGCCCATAGAGCATCATCCAATTTCTTAGACCAATCAGTCCTATTTGCATTAACCGTCTATGACAATATACTCTTAATTTTCCTATTTGAGACTTCAACTTGGCCACTCGCCTGAGGATGATAAGTAGTAGAAACTTTATGATTGACACCATACTTTGCAAGCAAATTGGCAAAAGCTCTATTGCAAAAATACGACCCCCCATCACTTATGATTGCACGAGGAGTGCCAAACCCTTAGTAAAAAGGTCGTCGGACGAACCTACGAACGCTGTTTACTGGTGCCCTGGATGTAAAACGTTTATACATGATTAATAGCGCCAATCAAAATTAATCGTTGATTCTATGCACTTGACAATATAAAAAAATGTTTACAATTAGGTCACTTGCTTCAGCCTTACCGGGAGGACATGGACCCTAATAGGGATGTGGGAGGTCGAGAAATTAGGGGCCGAAGGTTGATATGTAATGATGGTGTTACTCCTAGTATTTACCAGTAGTATTAGTAATATTTCTTTATTAACGCCTCATTCCATAGACTTTTTCAGTATATGTTGTGTCTTTCTTACCGTAGTATTGTAATTCCAGTTGGTGAGTAAGCCAGAATTTTTCGTTAAGGAGGTTGCCAAAATACTATAACAGGATAAACAATACCAAGGAAGATTAAGGGGTCAACTATAATAACTATATATATACTTATATATGATACATATAATTTATTTCTTGAGTATCCATCATACACAGTGTATTTTTCCCGCAAAAGGGGTGTCATTTGATCACCCTTCCTATCAAGGTGGCTCGCCACTGTTTAGTTAATATTCTTGTATTCTTATCTCTTGATATTTGTTTAGTAATACGTGAGTCTTTGTTTTTCTTTTTATATTTCTTGTTATTGTTAATGGTGCTTTTCCCTTCACTGTTCTTGAGCCAAAAGTCTATCGGAAAACAAGCCTCTATACCTTCTCAAGTAAGAGTAGGTTGCATACACACTGCCCCCCTCATGACCCCGACTTGTGAGTTATACCTGGGACTTGTTGTTGTATAGGTCACTTGTTAAGGTATATTACAACTAAAACATTCTAAGACAAACATTAATTGATAACACTAAAAGTAAACAATGGTAACTAATTCTACTATCACAAGTTAAATGCATACTGATATTCGTTAAAAAATCTTTACGCTGTTAGTATAAAGATAAATACTCAGAGTAAAAGGACATATATGTGGATCAATGATGAAATAATTAGCAATTGAAAATATTAAATGAAAGGATAAGATTGTTACCAAAGCAAAAAGAAGATCTTGCTTTTTCTGGACATTCTCGTTTGTGGTAAAGTCATAATCAAACTGCATAGCGACACTCATTGGGAGGTAAATTGTTGGCAAAAATCTTCAATGAGTCCATCATTTCTCCCAACTTTTCAACCACAACTTGATGCCTGAATCATCAATCTTGAACACTTATATATCGTGTGGTCTCTTCGCTTTACAGCTCCAAAAATTTTCAGCTTGCATTTCATCACTCACTGCTATCCCTCGACGCGAATTCGCCTACGCAAATGGCAACCAAAAGAAGAAAGGAAAGAAAAAAAATATTAGTACGTTCATATACATGCATGAACATAAATTTAAAGAAAACAATTGGTACGTTAATAAGTTCCATCTTTCTGAGAGATTATAGAATGGGAAATCGAAACCTTCAACTTAGAAAGGTTAATAATTGCTTTTAAATTACCCTTCTTAAGCATTTAAGATTTTTGCATTATTTCTATTGAAAAACTTTGGTTGCTGTTTTCTATGTATTACGTCTAGTGCATAAATCTGAAGGCATTATCATATTCAAGTGATTGGGGTCTGGGAAGTGTACGTTGTACGCACGACCTTACGCCTACCTCAGTGGAGGTAGAGAGACTGATTTCGAAGACCCTCAACTCAAGAATATATACATGACAAAATACAACCATTCGAAAATTTGGAGCAAACCAAAAGCACGATGATTTGGCCATGTTTAAATGGAAATGAGAATACAGTTATCATTTTGCTTGTTATAAATATATTATCACTGAAAATCTATACAGTGAAGAATGCGTACAACATACCATTTGGTAGAGTGGCGAGCGATGAAACTTCTAATCATAGAAATGAAGCAACTGATCTGCAAATGGAAAGAAAAGGAAACAGCGCGCGTGAAAGGGAGGTAGATAAGAGAAAGATGCTTGATTATGGAAAGGGGGCATTGAAGTTGGAAAGTGCCCTAAAGAATGTTCAAAGAGACGGACTGAGAGCTTTTTCAGGTTGGCAACAAAACAAGTTTGTTATTTGCTAACTGCTATTCTTCTCTTCGTTAATTCTCCTATATGATTCATGCGTCCTACAATTAATTATTACTCCCTCCGGTCTAAAATAAACTGACGCAATTTGCTTTGGACATAAACCCATTTAACGAAATACTGAAATTCTAAGAACGAAAACGAATTAGTATGACCAAACTAACCCTTCATTAAATGTTGCCCAGACCATAGTCTTATAGTAGTATTTACTTCTCGTTTCTTCAAATTTGAGGAGTAAAATGATCTTCTAGGGATACGTACAAAGGGAATTGTGGAAAAATAAAATTGAAGATTTTTTTCTGATTATATAAATGGACACTTATTTTGGACCAATAAAAAAGCAAATTGTGTCACTTATTGTGGACGGGAGGATGGTGTAGTAATTAGTTTCCATCTAACACATAAAATTTATTTTCATCAAATTAATTTACAGTGAGAAAATTTAAGTGGTGATGGTTTTCTCTAAAAAGAAAAAATCGAACCAAATATAGTAGGTTCTTCAAATATTGGAACAAACCAAACCAATTAAGTCGGTTCTTTATCAATTCGATTTTGTCGGTTGTTTCGGTTTTTTCAGTTTATTTATGCGATTTTTTTCTTTAAATATGAGACATACATTACCAACAACATATTTCAGTAGGCTTGTATAATTTTCAAGTCTAAAAATCAAAACCAATTCTCTGGATCTCATACCAAGTATATTGATGATAAAAGCAAATAATGAGAATATTTAGTACCAATTAAAAATCATTAATTTTAAAGTGAAATAAATTCTTGTTGACTTAGCAAAAAGGAAAACCTACTCAACAAACTACTAGAAAAAAGGCAAAAATTATATTATTATATAGTAAAAATATAG